GATCAGTCAGCTACTTAAAACGACCACGTAAACATACCGGATAGAATCAAGAACACTGAAATAACTACGGGAAAATGAATCCGTTTTATAAAGCGAGCAGGTTTCATGCGTAAACGGGAACAAGAAAGAAAAAACGAACGCACCTGCGATACGGGTTGTAATCAACTGGAAGTCCAGATCAGTTGCCAAGCTCCTGGAGGAACGTAAGGGAAGGGAAGCCGATTGGAGTATGAAGTAACCAACAAGAGCCATTCGGAAATCAAAAAAGAAAAACCATTGGATTTATTGTGTTCCCCAGTACAGAACAGATTAGTAAGCGTCATCAAAAAAATCGGAGCAACAAATCGGCGCACAATTGTGTTACACATCAAAAATCGATAAGAAACAGTCAGGTGTTGAGGTTCAACTGGGGTCGAGCAACAAACAGCAGACAATAAGCTGAATTGATTCACGTTCACATACATTCAGTACGCACACATGTACGTGGAGAACGACAACAACAAAAAAAGGATTACCATCGATCGAAGAGACAGGTATTCCGTTCGGAACGTGTAGTAAATAAGACATAAGATCATTTGTTCGATACATGGTCATTTTCAACAGAGTGACATGAATTTACTGGAAATATACTCTTCAGAACTCATGTACGTAAGCAAACCCGGAAAGACCCGACACGTAGCAGTGTGGTTATCAGTCGCACGGAGGAAATCTAAGCTAACCACAAGATTAGTGTTTATGAGAACCGGCGACCGGAGTAGTGAGACTTGGAAAGGGGAACACAACAACGCAATGATAAGATCAGTATAGTGGTGAGCCGAACGACACCAGGGCAGCTAGCAAACTCGAGCAACACAATGCCACAACATAATGACGAATTTCATTAAATAGCAAAAATAAGTAAATTGAATAGTCAAAGATATACTTCAAATGGGGTACGTGGAGGTACTAGCAGGTAAAAACCGATTTGTTAATCCTGCTCTTGGCGAGAATGCACGCAGTTGAAAAAATGAGAGGGTGTTTTGCAAGTTCGCAGTTCAGAGATAAAAGAAAGTGGGAAGATAGAAGTCTGGCATCTGATAAGGATGACTTGCCGCCTGCGATCCAGATGAGCGAGTGAAGAACAGGGAAGAATTTCCGAAACGAATGGGTTGTTGACCACAGCGAAAGCCTCGATTCCGCATACTACAATCGAAATGCCTGAGGAGTGCAACAACCATTCCTTTTTATGAGTGGCAAACTCTACAACAATTATAATTTGATTCCTGGGGTCTGCCACCGTCAGTATTGCATTGTTAAAAGATGAAATACTGAGAACTGAAGGGTCATGGTAGTAAGCAGTACGAGAATGGTGGCTGTAAGCGCAAAAATCAACTTTGAGAAAAAAGGCGTGACCAAAGTGGTTGGCAGATCTAAGATAACTGGCATCGGACAAGAGAGAGATCCAAGTTTAGCTAGAAATTAAGACCATGAGCGGGGGGATAACACTGAAGAATATTGCGAATGCGGTCACTTGTTTGATTCAAACCACGAATGTTAGCGAGAGCAGTGACATCGATCGGAATTCTGTGACTGAGTGAGTGAATTTGCGTAGGAGAACAAAAGCGATTATTCATTTGAGTTGAAATATTCGTGAACGACGAGAAAAACGGCAAATCGATCCTGAAGCTTGAAATGACGAACCAAATAAGGTATTAGTAGGTTCGGTTTGGTAGTGAACGGGCGTGGTCTACTACTTTGTAATCATTTCTCTTTAATAAAACTCCACATTTGAGCAGGTGTCTAGGATCAATGGAGCGCAAATTTTAAGAGAACTGGTGACCTGAGTAAGTGCTAGTAGTGCTGAATCGGTTATTTAGAACTTGTATTCGATCCCCATTATTAACGTTTCATAACTGGAAGTGGGCGACTAGCTGTCTCCAGGACCACTACGCATTTATTCCACTATAGACGGTTACATTGCTTTTTCTGAAATTTTGAGTAACCAGTTTTTACGACTGAAATTCTTCTGAATTCCAGGAGCATCTATTCAATATACGATACAAAAGACCGAACTCTAGGAACATTAGCGGTTGACCTATGAGCATTTCGAATCTACAGTATGCCACACTTGATGATTCCCTTTTTTTATCACCGTCGCCTGGTTCCCAGGCTGTCTGAATAGCCCACGGTCTTTGACAAAGGCTAGAAATTATGGGGCTAGAATATCTGATAGTGAGCCACTTACTTACAGTTCAAGTTTTGGTTAATTACAGGCTGCCGCGGAAAATTCACAAGTCTGGTTACCGGCATAAACGATAGGTAGTTGAGTTTTTAAATGGAACGAAGAACAAGCTCGTTTTTAGTGATTCTTAGTCATGCCAAATACATGGTAACAAATATTACGCTGTTTATATATAAATCAGTCTTCAGACAGAAATACCAAACAATTGTTTTGGGAAAGGGAAAATAAGCTCATGGATTATCTGGGGCTAATTTCGTCTTCGGACCGGATGTGGAATACTCAATTTTCACATAAGTGTTAGGCCTTCCGATCGTTGGGACTACTCGGAATATGGGGTGTGGGGGGGGGGCATCAGGCGAGCTTAAGCGCCTGTCCAAATTGTTTTTGAGCACATAGAGGGGGATTGTGCAGACGAATTTCTTCCGACTCCGCTGCGGCCAGCACACGAACCTGCGTTGATAGTCGACCACGAAGCCGAAACAGAGGACGGAATGCCTTGGTCACATTCACGGTGTGATTTGTTTCAACTAGGCGTGAAGCCACTGCACTAGTGACTGACCTAATCGATCCTGTATTTAGCTATGCGGGGTGGTGTACACGGATTCGTTAGGGCAAACGCCTGACCGTGCGGCCTATGTATGTTGTTCCACAGGAACACGTAGATGAGTACACACAAAACGAGACGGCGGAATCTGGCATTTTGTTCTTTAGTGGTAAACAAACAATTGGCTGGGATACGAACAAAACTTTGAGCTTTGCTGCATAGGAGGTGTTACTAACAGCGTCGGATAGTGTCCTTTGTATTACCTCTGCTGATGTACCCCTCTTGAACGGTAAGGTAATGTATAACAACTTCTTTCTGACATCGGTCTTCTTCACAATATCTCCAGTGCACTGAATCATCTTGCCAACCGGTCGCTCCGGATAGCCGTTGTGTGTGAAGATAGTGCGTAAGAACCGGAGTTCTTCTATTGTCCTCACTACAAATCGTTCATGCTCTATCTGCTAGGCAGTGCACCAAATTTCTCTTTACTTTGAGCGGTACAAAGCTGAGAAAATTAATATATTGGCTCTTCCAAGTCGCCTTCCTAAGCACTGATCGTTGCACCGAGCCATCCAATCTAGTTGAATTTTCTCATGGAGTGGTGACTCAGTATCTCAGGGTTCATTGGCAAACAACATTTATGTGCCACGACGTTTTTTTAACCTTTGAATGACTCGGAAAAGTGCTTGAATGTCCAACACCTTTTAGTGGTTGTCAAGCCCGATTACTTATAGTGAGAGGATATGACCTCGTGAAACTGGATGCACGTTCATTACGTAATGCATATCAAAGTCCGCGTCACAAAAAAACGGAGGAGTTGTAGGTTGACAATTAAATTGAAAATGCTAACCATACAACATAACATACGCGGAAACCTGTTCGATCACTTTGGTTGAGGCGTCCCGTAGGTTTCGAAACAGATTTCCCGCACCACCCTTCAGCATGCCCAGCATAGAACCGGATCCCGATACGGACGTGGAACTAGGACCCGACGGAGTGGGTTGGGATGTTTCGCCACGGGCAGATTCGGTAGAAGTTACATGGGTATTGGCAAAGATGGAAGAGACAGGTGGATGCCCGGTTGGGGGAACAACTGGGGCTTGGGTGGGACGAGCAGGTGTGACCGGCTTGATAGATGATCCTGACGGAGGATGACCCGGCCGATCAGGAGATCGAGTGACGGGAACAGGTCGAACCGGAGTCTCCGGGTGATCGGGCTTGGCGCCATTGATCGCATGATGGGAATGTGCCACTGGCATGGCTGAAAAAAAAATATTGGGAAAGTGGAACGAAATTAAGGGGACAGACATAGTAGTGAAACGGTAACAAAAATCTGGAAATAAGTCTTCCGAAATCCATGCAAAAAGTGAAAAGGTATCTGCTAATATAAGACAGCATAGTGGGAGACTAAATGTCATTGGATGATTACACGCATGCACACATTTATATACAGCCTTTCTGAATCGTTGGGCAACATTTGTTTGGAAGCAACCGACCAATGTTTACTGCCCATTACGTTCATTTATTCAATAACCTCTTATCGAGTCATTCACATGCGATATTTTAGCACAATGTGGCTATTGAAAACATTAATGAAAACGTTATGGGTTGGACAATACGGTCGATAAAGACAGCTGGAAAAACAGGACAGAAGGTCAAACAAACAGTGGAGTATTTCAATAGTCTTTCTTATCACTGATGCAATGCACTATGCAGTCTTGATTGGTTGGCATAACAACCAATGATTTAGTATGGTCGGGAGTGGATAGTCCGAGCCCAGAAATGGTCAGTTATCTTGATATGTTAGAGAAATGATCCCAAACGACACGCATCCCAAATAGCTTCTGTTGAAGAAGTCCTATCCATCACGTACTATGAGGTGGTGGAGGTTAACTCGAGAGTGAATGCTCAGGGATTTCCATCAGATTGACTGATCATTAGTAGTCAGTCCTAGGGAATTGGCCGAGGCAGGTAGTGGGTGGAATAAAGCCAAGGGTGGTCAAGCTAAGACCTGGCATAAACCCTAACCAGGAGACTAGGTCACATAGGCCCCGTTAGGCTCCCTGGCTGGGGACCTCACCCTAACCAGGAAACTGGGTCACATAGGTCCTGTTAGGCTCCCTGGCTGGGGACCTCGGAATGATCGTACCCGATCGTTAAAGACACTAAGCGATATGGCTGAGTGTCGTAAACGATGGCGTTCGTGCATCTTCTTAATCTCTTTGCATCATTAGTCCATTGAACCTCTCAATTTTCTCTTTGATCCTACTTTCAACCTTACCGTTCCTCCTATCGTTCATCCGAATGGGCAGCCAAAAGACAGCAACCAAAAGCGACATATAGAAGTGTATACTTAATGGTTGTTTAAAATGAAATGTTGGGAACCACTGAGGGCCCCGACAAGACATACGCAGCATTGGCACGGACGTAAAACAAACTGCTCACTACCAAATTTAGATGGCAACAGAATGGTTTGGACCTCAGACCTTAGAGTTTGGAACACGTCAGTAACGGCTTGGTGATCAGAATCCAGCAAAAATATAAGGAAAGTAATGCATATTTACGGTGTTATTGTTCAAATGGTTTAACTTTGAAGGTAATAGACAGCATGTGTGGTTTCCTTTGATTAAGGTCTAGGCTCCAGCCTTTGGAAATCCGCTCATTCCTGTAAGAAACCAAATCAAGTGTACGTTATGCCACGCGAAATCACGCTTTAAAATGTGCAATTCTAACTCTTCAACCGCCAAATTGCCAAAATCAGGAGCCAAGATCAGCGTGACGTCATATTCCACGAAGGAAAGGAAAACGCGCTTATAATGTATATATATATG